TGGAGCACCCGGAGGTGAGACGCCCCCGCCGGGACAGCCGGGACGGGTCGGGTGGGCGCTGCTGTAGCGTCTTTCGGGCAAGGCCGCAGAAACGAACATCTTGCAGGGGTCCTCAAACTACGGCCCGCGGGCCACATGCGGCCCGCCGGGTGTTTTTGCCGCCGCTGCCTGTTGCTTAGCAGCGGACTAGTTTTTTTTTAAACTATAGTCCGGCCCTCCAAGGTCTAAGGGACAGTGAACTGGCCCCCTGTTTAAAAAGTTTGAGGACCCTTGATAGGCATTTCCCGGGTTCTAGTACGGAAAGGACCCAACAGCATCCAAGGCTTCTGGATTTGGGATTATGATGTTCTGTGAGAAAACTTGTTTTCCTCTTGTTTTCTCACATTTCATATTGAGAACCAGTGCAACATACCGAGAACTGGTGCATTGTAAACTGTTGCGAGATGCTGCTCAGTTTGTCCACTTTATGTGTAAAGTCACCCAGCAGAAAACTGTCTCTGCAGTAGCTACGACGTATCAGGCATCATGCACCCCGGCAGGACACCAGGGTTAGAGAGTTTGGTATTTTTCACATGATTTAGTGTATATGAAGATTTGCAAACATTTCACAGAACCAGTTGTAACTTGAGAGCTGCGGGTCCATAACGTTTTTACCCAAAGCTTCCGTGACAGCTACTGGTAACAGCTAAGTATGGCAATCTCCAAAGGGTAGAGAAGTCCATTAAAAGTCTTCTCAACTTTACAAATTTAACGCAGGAACTATCATTTTCTCTGATCGTCTCCCCTCCCATATAGTCCACACACGCTCCTTGACCTGTGCATATTGCCAGCTTTCTGCTGTTCTCTGTCAGTCCAGGGTCTCATTCCCTGCCCTCACCCTCACCCTCACCCTCACCCTGGTTACATACCTGTAGATTGGAGGTTGTCACCTGATCTAGATGTAATGGGATGCTAAGGAATCTGGGCTGTTACAAACTTTCAATTTAACGAAAAAAAAAAAAGACAAAAAGTATTTTAAGAATGTGAGGGCTTGGTCAGTCAGCACACTGGAATAGAGAACTGACCTAAGATAAATTACTTGAAATCCCGATACGAGGAATTGAGCTGGTAAAGACTTGTATTTCATAATGGGTGAAATCCAGAGCACTGAGTGCTTCCTGACCTTGCTGTTTTTTTTCCCTAACGTTGCTGTTTTCGCCCAGCAAGCAAAATATATTGTAACTGTGTGTGTATACAGTGTGTGTATACATGCATATTATTTTTAAATTTCTCATGTGACATTTTACAGGTGTTTACAGTTGAAGAAATGATGCCTCATGTCCAACATTTGAAAGGAGCACACAGTAAGAACTTATTTCTTAAAGACAAAAAGAAAAAAGGCTATTGGCTGGTGACAGTTCTTCATGATCGACAAGTTAATTTAAATGACCTTGCCAAGCAGTTAGGTGTGGGAAGTGGAAATCTGCGGTTCGCTGATGAAACAGCCATGCTAGAAAAGCTAAAAGTTGGCTCAGGCTGTGCCACACCCTTGGCACTATTCTGTGATGACGGAGATGTGAAATTTGTTCTGGACTCTGCTTTTTTGGAAGGTGGACATGAAAAGGTGTACTTTCATCCAATGACCAATGCTGCAACCATGGGGTTGAGCCCTGAAGACTTTCTTACATTTGTGAAGAAGACAGGACATAATCCCATAATACTGAATTTTGATAAAAACAACTAATTGGGCCAATGTTTAGAATACATTTACATCTGAAAGCTGTTTTTCTTAATTCTAATTGGTAAAAAGCATTAAAAGTAATAATATTTAGCACCTTGATTTGGTGACTACTTAAGTCATTTTAGGAGGGGTATTTCATCTTAAAGCTGTTTTTAAAAAGATATATTGAGGTAGTGTTAGCTCAGATTCCTCTCCACTCCCCATCCTCCATTCCCCATGACTCATTACAGAAATGCCCTCAAAAATTAAGAATAAATTAACATCAAAACTAAGATTAACATATCTTGAACAGGTACTTATTGTACTTGAAAAAAGCAGATGGCAAAACAGCATATATAAAATTATGCATGTGATAGTGCACATATAGGGAAAAATTAAGAGGAATATAAGTATATTGTTGATAATGGTTCTCTTTTGGGAATGAAAATTAAGGAATAAAAACTCCCCAGCAAGATAATTGAAACAAGCATAGGACAAGAGCTAAAAATTCCTGTTACTGAGTATTTGTTTTTAAAAGTGGTTTTTCTTGCCCTACCTGGTTTGGCTCAGTGGATAGAGCATCAGCCTGTGGACTAAATGGCCCTTGGTTCGATTCCAGTCAAAAGCACATGCCTGGGTTGTGGGCTCTATCCCCAGCAGGGGGCGTGCAAGAGGTAGCAGGTCAATGATTCTCAACATTGATGTTTTTATCTCTCTCTCCCTCTCTGAAATCAATAAAAATATATTTTAAAAATATAGAAGTGGTATTCTTCAGTGAAAAAATAAGATTATTACTTTTATAAAAGTGTATCTTTAGAAAAGTTTCATCTAGAAAAACACTCAAAATAGGGATGGAAAATGTAATCATACCATTGAAATTCTAAAACTCAGCAGCAGAATATACACAGGCCCTTGGAAGGATTTATTTAGTCTTTGTTCAAAGGTTAGAAATGTGAATATGAACAAGTTTCTTCTGTCTTCTGGAATATATTGTATTTTACTCATCACCTTTCAGTTATGGCATATGAAAAGTGTAAGATGCCAGGATTATATATTGTCAGTTGTCACATAGAAGGTAGTTAAAAAATAGTGAGGAAAACTGAAATTTTTTCCACCTCACTTAAATAAAACCCTTCATCAGTTGAAGGTCTGGCATAGACTAGACTACAGAAATAGTCTACAGGTCTTGTCATGAGAATTCTCATTTTCCTCTAGGTTTGATCACTCAAAAAATAATTCCCATTTGGTAGAGATATTGTACTTAATTTATACTAATTTGTGTTACTGAAAGGCAAAGTACAAGTAAACACTTGGCATTTATTGATATACCAGAGGCCTGGTGCATGAATTTGTGCACCGATGGGGTCCCTCAGCCTGGCCTGTACCCTCTCGCAACCCGGGACCCCTCGGGGGATGTTGGAGAGCAGGTTTTGGCCTGATCCCCGTAGGCCAGGCTGAGGGACCCTACCGGTGCACAGTGCACCAGGCCTCTAGTATGTTTATAACATCTTCGGTTAATCTCTTCCTGCCCTCCCCCCACCCCCAAGATTCATCAGTCTGCCCCCTGGTGGTCAGCGCGCATCATAGCTAATGGTCGTTTAGGCTTTATATATATACTAGAGGCCCAGTGCACAAAAATTTGTGTACTGGGGTGGGGGGGGGTCCCTCAGCCCGGCCTGTGCCCTCTTGCAGTCTGGGACCCCTCGGGGGATGACCACCTGCTGGCTTAGGCCCGCTCCCTGGGGGATTGGGCCTATGCTGGCAATCAGACATCCCTTTGGCAGCCCGGGAGCCCTCGGGGGGATGTCCACTTGCCAGCGAGGAGCAGGCCTAAGCTGCAGTTGGACATCCTTAGCGCTGCTGAGGAGGCAGGAGAGGCTCCCACCACCACCGCTGTACTGGCAGCCGTCAGCCTGGCTTGTGGCTGAGCAGAGCTCC